CGCGAACCGTAAGATGCATTCAGCGTATCCCGCGGGGACTTTCCCTAGCTAATGCGAGATGAAATTACAGCCCCCCGGGGTTCCGGTCGACAGTCACGCCGTCTACTCGAAAGACACTGGCCTAACCTCTCCTCTCTATCTTTGCCAGCTTCTCTTTCAACTCTTTCTCTACCTTCGCTTTCTTCGTCCTCCCGTGATCCTCCATCCTTTCGGATGCTCATACATACGAAGAGAGGCATTCGTTTCAACTCGTTTGGTCGCTGCTCCGAGCGAACGTTTACCCTTATAAAAAGCTTGCCCTTAATCTTCAACGGAAGCCAACCCTTGACTCTGAACAGAGTTTCAAAGAGGAGTTTTCTAGTTATTGGAGAATATTCTCCCGCTTTAACGAGATAACTTGTACTATTACGATCAAAGATTGACAGTACATGATACACCGTGGTCTTTGGAACCACTTAATCGCTCTTGCTCCTCTGACGAAAACAAAAAATTCGAATTCACAAGCATTCAAGAACGTGTCCTCGAAAATAGGTACACACCTATGTAATGAAATTTAAAAATTAACAGATAGTAAATTAACCAGTCTGACTCCTAACGAGACACATGATATTTTCTCATTCTTCAGTCATTATATTAAAGACTAATGGTGTTTCATAATATAAAACAAATTTGACTGTTCCGCGCAAAGTTCAAGATTGAATTTAAAGATGTTGAATACCGTATAATCTATACTATGCAATGTCATATGCCTGATATATTTTATGATCAATCATATGCAGCGGGTCCTTTGCTGCTCCTCTAACGATGTATCCTACGCATAGCGCGAAAATGTTTCATTCAAACATATCGAATGAAAGAATCAATTATCGACCTCCAGTTTCATCGAACTTGAACCAACGAAGAATCGATTAACAGAATAATTTGTACGTTATACGTGTCGCTGTTGGTGTTTTATATAGGAGAAACGTATTCAATATTCTTAACTATATGGTACAGCAGTATAGCAAAGTGTTTCCGATTTCTACGGCACGAAGCAATTCTCGAAGGTTTCCAACAAACGCAGCCGATTCTATATGTGTGTAACCTTATTCTTATTCGTGGAAACGTAAAGCGGAGTTTAAAAAATATTAATAGCATTCTAAAAGTTTGTAACTGGAAAAACGAATGGATTATTAATGATACGGAGAACGTGGACTTATTGCTCCTTTATGTAGCTTTATATCCGCGAGAGTGAAAAAAGCCTGGCTATTATTCGACGTCATTTACATTAATTCAAGCTAAAACTCCTTTCTTCGACGCGGCATCGTGCAAAGAACAATCAAATGTAATTGACGGTACGTTAATTACAAAAGTACACTCATACAGGAACAGCTAACGATCTTCAGAAATTCGCTTAGCAACAAAAACAGAACGACAGCGATGAATAAATTATAAACATCAAAGAAATTATGTATACAGTTTTTGCACCAGCTGGCATTCAAACAGAACTCGTCAAATGAGAATATGCAACGTGACGTGAACAGGCAGCGTAATTTACAAAGACATGGTTACCTCCAATTAAAATCCAGCTGTTTGTAGTTAAAGATAAACGATATCGTAACAGTAACGTTAACGTGTCCAGTTTGGTAAAACTGACAATGTTTGATGCTAAAAATGATGAAACTTCTTCAATCAATTGTGCAATATTACACGTTACCAATAATACAAATTCATTAGTATAGCAATGGAACGAACTGTATTTTAATTCAGAAGGTGGTAATTGTATATGGAACAATGAATAAAAAATGTAGAATAATATTTTCTCAGTTTCTCGTTTTCGGTCGATGTTGCAAATTTACTGAGCATAACCCGTATACAGACATAATACGTAGAATACGATTACGTCAAAAATCAGGAAAGATAATTTCAATTAACTTTACATGGTTCACAAATATCCAGTAGAAAACGTTTCTTTTATTATTTGTCTTTCATCGTATAATACGATGAATAGATACGATATTCCATGAATTGTTAATGTCGATTTAATTGGAGATGAAATTTCCAATAAGAAGATATTACTTTTTATTTTCAGCCACTCTTTCATGTGAATTAATTCAGAGATCATAATGACTCTTTGATAAAATAATAAAATTACCACCCCTGATCGAAGAATTAATAATTCTTCATTTCAAAGATGAGTTAATATAATGAATGAAATTTTACAATTCACAGAACTGTACCTAGGTATCAGTATTAATAGATCCCCTTACGTGATAGTAATAAAATGGATAATAAAGTAATATTCGATAAGAAAATTTTAGAAGTTTTACAAAATACAAAGTCAGCTGATTATCCCATCCTACGTAAACATTATGAAGACTTTGTATAATAGAAATTTATAATCTACGACGTATCGTTTGCCAATTCATTAATATTATCTATCGGTAAACAATTATATAAGAAAGCTAATTGTAGTAATTATAAGTAGCTAATTATAACAGCCTCGTGTCATCACTATGTAATTCCGACATCGATTTCGCTCTTACAGCCATCAGCTGTGAAGCAAGTTGCATCGAGTATATACTTTTACTTGCGATCGCTAGACCAAACTCATCTATCACACCAGTAAAGTTGCCGGCGACCACTTTGACGTTTCTCGTACTCGTGGATTAACTCGTGTCATTTTCTCAAGATCGGTAAGGCAGTCCTCGATTATTACCGAAACTGATAGCGGGTTCGCTTGGCTAATACGCGCGTCGAGGAGTTTCAAGCAGCGTCGGCAGTAAAGAGAGTTGCCCGCTTCAGTTAAGTCACTCTGTAAAGTTTCCGCGAGAGAGGTACAGCCGTGGCCCGTTAATGTGTCGTAAATCGTTGCTTTCGCTCCGTGCACAAGTCAACCACAGAGATTACACTCGACCAAGGCAGTCAAAAGTGATTCTCTCTCTCTCTCTTTCTCTCTTGGTTCAGCTTAGTCAAGTATCCGGTCTTAACAATGTACAAGGCTGAGCGTGGATTCTCTTAGTCTCGAGTATCCGTACCGTGAAAAGGTAGCTTTAGCTCGTTTAACAGCGATGGGACGAGCGAGGTTTCCAGAAGGAGGCGACTGCAACCGTTGCAAATCGACGAAAAAGCAAGGCCCCGGAATCAAATGAGTTTACACAACGACGATGACGACAACGAAGTTTCGTGAGTGTAATCAAGCTAGGGATCGAGAAACACGGTGAAAAGGGAATTGCCACACGGGCTAAGGGATAACCTTCTTCTCTGCGATTTGAATTTCCGCCCAAAGGCAAACGAGCCAACACCCCAAATGAGCGCACGGCTCCTAGGGATCATTGGTCGTACGTCGATAGAGAAAACTCGATAAATGCCGACGCAATAGTTTCTTAATTACAAAGAGACTCGTTAAGGTTTGTCTATTAGATAGGATATTTCGCTTTCGGGATAGAATGGGCAAAGAAGAGAGGAAGATAGAGGCCAGTGCACCGAGATATCGAGCCACGACAAAGAGCACCGCTACGCGTAGAAATCGTTCCAAAGAGAAATGAAATCGATTTGCATTTCCAAAGAACTCTGATTGTATGGAGCACCGGAATTTCCTTTGCCAATTTCGAAATCATTATTCGGTCGTTGCAGGCTATTCGTACGAAATCATCGAGCAATTTCACGTTACGGATATAATCGTAGTTCACATATGTATATATACAGTACGTATGTCGAATGGAATATCATCTGAAATAGAAAAATGAAGAATAATTGCGAACGCGGTAGACTGCACCAGCGTATTACCGCAACAAAGTTCGTGGACCAATGTGACTTGGTATCTCTTCTAGTCTCTTCTTCGTACGATTCGCACGGGAGAAAGGCCACTAGAGGGTTCTTCGACGCTCTTTGTCCTTCGATGCAAATAAACGTACATCTCCTTCGCAATTTCACCTCGATACCTATATCTCGACGATAGAAAGCACAAGATCCACGCGTTCTCCCTTGGAGAACAATTTCAGTGAATCAGCTGGGACAATAACGAAAAGGTACAAAGCCACGCTCCTTTCAACATTGTTCCTTGTAACTCCTTTGCACACTTGGTTTCAGAAGCAAAAAATATTTCTTTGCTTAACGGAGCTTCGCGAGCTCAGCGTATTTCCTTTTGTCTCCTCGCCTCGCGCTTCCGGCGTAACGATGAAAAAAGGATTCCCGCGACAGCACAAACAAAATAGTATCAACAGTCGTCGTAAGACATATTTTCCCCGCCATTTTATTCTCTCGCTTTGCTCAGTCACGTTCCTTTTTTTGGAACCACCAGCTGACCAAGGGTACGGAAGAAACGACGACGCCCCCGTCGCGTTGGCGAGATGCCGGACAACGTGCTAAGAAAAAAAGTAACGGCACCGTGTCACACGACAATGTTTCATCTGGCACGAGAGGGAGAGAGCCGATGATCCTTGTCATTTTGTCACATTAGACGCGATTACTCGTGTCCCACGCGCCAACACACACTCAAACACGCATCGTGTTTCACATATGTATTTTCTACTTCCGTATGTTTATCCAAATACGAATGAAACGCGATGGCGACTCGCGACAGCTTACCTGATATCACGAAGAAAGCGAATGCTGCTTTTAGCCACAGGTGGCGAGTCATCTCGAATCCGCGGATAACCCCTCTTTTTTTTGTCTCGATCACTAGTCTTTTTGTTCACACTAGCACACCACTCGCGTATTTATGTTTCCGTTACGTTGATTACGAAAACATGGAAAGTGTGGAGAATCTTTGGCAACGCATCAATGTACGTTATAAACTGACAATTGATTTATAGCGGTCTCATGAGATAGTCATGGTACACAAAGTGGACGGTGAACGCCACCGTTTTTGCCCGAACGAAACCCGTCACTACACGTTGTCTCCGAAACGAAACGTCAAACTCACCGTGCGCAGCGTGCGGTAGCGACTGATCGCAAAACTACGCTGCCGGAGGATCGCGGCGGTGGCGACAGCGGCGATTCGAATCGCCGTGAACCGCGA